CTGTTTGTCCATTATTTATAGAGCGTCTTTGATTTTCTCATAAAGTTTTGCACTTTTCAGAGTATAAGTCTTGCTGTTTTAGTTTCTTTTCTTTTTTTTTAAAGTTTTATTTTTTTTTTATTATTTTTTTATTGGAAAGGCGGATATACAGAGAGGAGAGACAGAGAGGAAGATCTTCCGTCCAATGATTCACTCCCCAAGTGAGCGCAATGGCCGATGCTATGCCAGTCCGAAGCCAGGAGACTCTTCCGGGTCTCCCACATGCGGGTGCAGGGTCCCAAAGCTTTGGGCCGTCCTCAACTGCTTTCCCGGGCCACAGGCAGGGAGCTGGAAGGGAAGCGGGGCTGCCGGGATTAGAACCGGCGCCCATATGGGGTCCCAGGCGTGCAAGGCGAGGACTTAATCACTTGCGCCACGGCGCCGGGCCCGCTGTTTTAATTTCTAAGCATTTTATTCTTGATGTTTAACTGTAGTTGTTTTCTTCATTTAAAAACATCTATTTAAAATTCCTTTTTAAAAGATCTATCTATTCATTTTTATGGAAAGTCAGATTTTACAGAGAGAAGGAGAGACAGAAAGATTTTCCATCTGATGGCCCACTCCCCAAATAGCCACAATGGCCGGTGCTGAGCTGATCCGAAGCCAGGAGTCTGGAACTTTTTCCAGGTCTCCCACGCAGGTGCAGGGTCCCAAGGCTTTGGGCTGTTCTCCACTGCTTTCCCAGGCCACAAGCAGGGAGCTGGATGGAAACTGGTGCCTACATGGGATCCCGGCTTGTGCAAGTATCTAGCCACTGAGCCATTGTACCAGGCCCAGGAGAGAGAGAGAGAGAGAGAGAGAAAGAGAGAGAGAGAGAGAGAGAGAGAGATTTCATCTGCTGGTTCATTTCTGAAATGTCTGCAAGAGCTGAGGTTGGCCAGGAGGCCAGAATCCACTCTGGTCTCCCAAATGGTCCTTAGGCCATCAAGTGCTGTCTTTCCAAGTGCAAAGGCAGGAAGCTGAACCTGAAATGAAGGAACTGGAACTGGAACCAGCATTCTGACATGGGGTGTGCATCTTCCCGCTGCACCACAACACAGTGAAGTCTGGCAGTCTCCCTTTTGATTAGAGCAATTTAATCCAGGTGCATTTCATATAATTGCAATATTTAATATAATAGGCTATGTCTGCCAATTTGTTACTTGATTCTTATATGTAGTATGTCTTTGTTTGCTATTAGATTAGTATAATATGATTTCATTTTTCTATTGTATCATTTTAATTCTCTTAGTTTACCATTTTTAAAAGTTATTTTTCTCCTAGGGATTATAATTAACATTTTACTTAAAAACAATCAATTTGAGTTAATAACAACTTTTCCTAAAGAAATGATTTATTTATCTATTTTGAATGTCAGAATTACAGAGAAAGAGTGAAACAGAGAGAGAGCTCTTCCATTGATTGCTTCGTCCCCCAGATGGCCACAGTGGCCAGCGCTGGACCAGACTGAATCCAGGAGCCAGAAGTTTTATCTGAGTCTCCCATGTCAGGCCGTGCTTCACAGTTTTTTTTCCCAGGCCATCCGCAGGAAACTGGATTAGAAGTGAAACAGGTGGCAGCTTAACTTACTACGCCACAACACCAGGTCCTGGCAACTTACTTTTAACTGTACAGCAATAATTAAAGTTTATTTCTGGTTGTTGTACTATGGTTTCCACAAGGTTACTGCCTGAAGCACCACACATCTGTAAACACTGCTTTATTAATTATTATTTTGTGCAATTGTCTTTCAAATCAGAGTTGAGTTATAAACAAAACTGTATTTATGCTATCATCCACATTTGCCTGTTCAGTTACCCTCCCTGGACTCTGCGTGGGTGTGTGTTTGTACTATTATCTAGTGTTTCTCCACTTCAGTTTCTGAAGTGTGTCTTGTAGAATGGACCTGCTGGTGGTAACTTTCCTCCATTTTTGTTTTTCTGGGGACATCTTAATCTCCTTGGCCTCTCAAAGACCATTTTGCAAGACATGAAATCTCCTTCTTGATAGTATAATCTTCTGTCATTGCTTTGAGAAGGTTGTTAGAATGTCTCCTGGCTTTCATGGTTTCTGATGAGAAATCAGCCATTAGCCTAATGAATCCCTTTTCTGCAGTAAGCTATTTTTCTCTTGGACCCTTCATCTTTTGCTTCGGGAAGTGTGGATCTGATGTGCTTAGATGAGTGATTTCTAAGGCTTATCTTTTTAAAAAATATTTATTTTATTTTTATTGGAAAGGCAGATATATATAAAGAGGAGGAGAGACAGAGAGGAAGATCTTCCATCTGATGATTCACTCCCCAAGTGACAGCAATGGCCGGTACTGCGCTGATTTGAAGCCAGGAGCCAGGAACTTCTTCTGGGTCTCCCTTGTGGGTGCAGGGTCCCAAGGCTTTGGGCTGTCCTTGACTGCTTTCCCAGGCCACAGGCAGGGAGCTGGTTGGGAAGTGGAGCCACTGAGATTAGAACCGGTGCCCATATGGGTCCCGGCACATTCAAGGCGAGGACTTAAGCTGCTAGACCACCGTGCTGGGCCCATTCTAAGGCTTAACTTGATGGGGCTTCGTGGTGCTAGGCCCTTCACTGCTATTTCTTCCAAATCTTCCTGCTTCCTCTTATATGCAAGGTCTATGAGATTATCTTCATGATGTATCATTTTTCTTTTTAGACTGGATAATATCAGCAGACATCGAACCAGCCCAGAATTAAGGTTGAGCCCCTCGAGTGGATTTTTCACTTTAGTTATTGTGATTTTCAGCTCCAGGAATTCGCTTCTTCAAAAAATCTGCTCTATGTTTTCACTGATATTCTCCATTTGATGGGACAGAATTCTCATACTTTCCTTTAATTCTTTAGTTACAGTTTTCTTTAGTTTTTCGGATCTATAATAACCAACATCTTTGGCTACCACATAGGATCTTCGTCAGGGAAATCTATGTGGATCTCCTCAGCACAGTCTACTGGCTTTGTTCCCCCTTTTATTGCTGTACTTCCAGATACCTTTAAGTTTCTTCCTTTTTTTTTTTTTTTTTTGGTTAAAAACTGGACATCTAAATCTCTCGTGGCTACTATGGAAGTTAAATACTTGCTTTTCCTTCTCAGATATCTCATTCTTGCTGTTTATTGTTGTGGCTCTTTGTTCAGGAACCTTCCTAGAATAATTATTTTATTAAAATTTTGAAATGACATTCAATTTATTTGAAAGGGAGAGTGAGAAAGTGTGTGTGTGAGAGAGAGAGAGAGAGAGAAGGAGAAAGAGAGAGAGTGAGAGAGATGTCTTAACGCCTACAGGTTCACTCTCTAAATGTGCACAGAAGCCAGGCTAGCCCAGGCTGACGCAAAGAGCCCAGATCTCACTCTGGGTCTCCCACATGGGTAGCATTGAATCAAGCTCTTCCGACATCATCTGCTGCCTTCCAGGGTGCACACCCCAGGAAGCTGGAATTAGAAACACATCAGGGACTTGAACCCACCCAGGCTCTTCCATGTAGGATATGGGCATCTTAACTGCTATGCCAAACACTCACCCCATAAACTATTAATTTAAAATGTACATTCTGGGGCCCGGTGGCGTGGCCTAGTTGCTAAAGTCCTCGCCTTGAACGCCCAGGATCCCATATGGGCGCTGGTTCTAATCCCAGCAGCTCCATTTCCCATCCAGCTCCCTGCTTGTGGCCTGGGAAAGCAGTCGAGGACGGCCCAAAGCTTTGGAACCTGCACCGCATGTGGGAGACCCGAAAGAGGTTCCTGATTCCCGGCTTCGGATCAGTGCAGTACCAGCCATTGCGGTCACTTGGGGAATGAATCATCGGACAGAAGATCTTCCTCTCTGTCTCTCCTCCTCTCTGTATATCTGACTTTGTAATAAAAATAAACAAATCTTTAAAACAAAATAAAATGTGCATTCTTTGCCACATGCAACTGCTGAGTTCTCAGCTAGTTTAGCTTAGTGGTGAGTTTAGAGATTTCCTTTAATGCCTTTATTCAACAAATGCCCCTTCCTGTGTGTGGGACACAGCTTCAGTGCTCCATCAGGTTACAACCCTGCCTTCATGACCTGTTTGAGCACAATCTTACAGCCAAGGACGAGGGAGACTGGCGCTCCCTGAGGCCTTTCCTGGGCCTGCAAAGGTACCTGCATTCTAGATTCTCGAGGAAAGGGGGGAGCTTCATCAAAGTCTTTTTGGACATCTCATCCACTAGATGGTCATGATAAGTCTTGAGCCCTCCCCTTGTCTGCTCTGGTTGCTAGCGCCATTTCTGGCAGCTGCACTGTGCAACAATCTCTGCTGACTGTTTTCAGCAGACAGTCTGGGCTGGGGCTTTTCCTATGAGTACGCTCTGCATTACGGTTGTCATCTGCATTGCGCTGTGGGGAGCTGAAGACACAGGAATCCAAGGCCAGAAAGGGAGGAAGACACCTACCAAACCAGAAAGGACCAGGGTCCCTACCTGGCTGAGGACGGTCAGGTGCCCGCCATCATTGCCATTGGGAGGTCAAGGATCACTTTGGGCAAGACCTTGTCACAAGTCTTTTGGGCAAGCCCCCACTGGGGTGGTGAGGCACGGGGCTGGTGCTGATGGGGTGGGCATGTGCACAGCAAGTTTGTTCTGGGTGAGATGAAGATGGTGCTGAGGGTAGCTGAGCCTGCAGGTTGTATGTGAAGGAAACCATTCCAAGGGAAGGATGGGCCAATTTTGGGCTGGGGGAGGAATGCCTGGAGAACCATTACATGATGCTGAGTGATTCACAGTAGAGTGAGGCGCCATGGCCACGGAGACACACTGCTACATGGTGGCAGGCTGGGTCCGTCAATGAGCCCGACAGCAGATGTCTCTGCATTGCAGAAGGGCAGATTGAGATGAGGGAGCACTGGCCACTGTGGCCACTGGGAGCAGCACAAGGTGGCTGGGGGGCCGGGGAGCAGCACCCAGCAGACTCCCGAGCCTAGGCTGAGCAGCTAACCAAACCCAGGACTTACCAGGGTCGCCTCTTCTTCCAGGCTTGCCACGCCGTCCTGGGGGCCCTGGACAGGAAGACAAGGGCGCACAGGTTAAGAAGGGCAGTTAGGGGGCTTGGGCACAGCCTGTTGGCTTCCAGCCTCCCACCACTCTGTTGTGGTCTTGTGGGAGCAGCTAGTCTGAGGTGGGTGGATGGGTGCAGGGTCGTGCACAGAACCCCCTGTATCTGCCCCCTTTCCTGTTGGCTGTACTCACGCCCTTCATGTACTTACCCTGTCACTCAGTCATCTGTTCCCTCCCCAACTACGCACAAGTCAGAAGCTGAGAATCTCTGGTTTGTGAGAAAAGTGAGGGTGGCAGCGACTTATGGAAGGCCTGACAAGCACTACTTAACAATCACTGAGAGAGGGGCTGGTGCAATGACTCGACTGGCTAAACCTTTGTCTGCAAGCACAAGTATTCCATACGGATGCTGCTTTGTGTCCTGGTTGCCCTACTTCTTGTGGAGCTCCTGCCCCCTGTGTGTAGCTTGGGAAAGCAGTTGGGGATGGCCCAAGGTCTTGGGATCCTGCACCTGCATGGGAGACCCGGAAGAAGCTCCTGGCTCCAGATTGGCTAAGTTCTGGTTGTTACTGCCATTTGGGGATTAAACTAACAGATGGAAGATCTCTCTCTCTCTCTCTTTCTATAAATCTGTCATTCTGATAAAGAAAAATATTTTTAATAAGTGCTCACTGAGACAAGACAATAGGGTAGCAGCAGGAAGTGGCACTGGCATTTCCAGTGCTTCGGTGTACAGCAGCAGGCACTGCTGCCCAGCCATCCGTCCCCTCCCTGCAGCACACGGTCCAGGCACAGCAGTCCCCACCTCCCTGACTGCCCGCTCTGCCTCATCCGGCCCCGAGACCTGTGTGTCTGCACTGCTGTGGGAGGGCTCCAGCTCAGAGCTCGGGCCTCCCCGGTTCAGGCTGGGGACCTCGGCCAGCACTCCTCGCTTGGGCCTCTCACCGAACTCACACAACCCCACTCCTCTTAGTCTGATGGATTCTCCAGTTTTTTTCCCCCATAAAAATGAATGCAGAAGCAAAGGATATAGATAATATTTTGTGACATTTAAAACCATTATTTGGGGGCTGGTGTTGTGCAGTGGGCTAAACTGGCCTCCCATATGGCCCAGTTTGAGTCATGGCTGTTCCACTTTGGATCCAGCTCCTTGCTAATGTGCCTGGGAAATGCAGCAGAATATGGCCCAAGTGCTTGGGCCCCTGTATCCACACGGGAGACCTGGATGCAGGTCCTGGTTCCGGCTTTATCCTGGCCTGCTGCCAGCCATTGAAGCCGTTTGGGTAGTTAACCAGCAGATGGAAGATTTCTCTCTCTTTCTGTAACTTAGACTTTCAAATAAATAAGCAAACATTTATTCTACTTATTTAGAAGAGTTGGAGAGAGAGGGAGAGAGAGAGAGAGAGAGAGATATTTTTCTTTCATATGCTGCTTTATTCCCCAGTGGTTGCAATAGCCTGGGCTGGGCCAGGTTGAAGCCAGGAGCTTCATTCGGGTTCCCCACATGGATGGCAGGGATTTAAGCATTTGGACCACCCTCAAGTGCTTTCCTAGATACATTAGCAGGAAGCTGCATTGGAGATGGAGTAGCTGAGACTCGAACTGGCGTTTACATGGGCTGCTGCCATTACAGGTGGCAGCTTAACCCACTACAGCACAATGCTGGTTCCCCAACAAATCTTTAAACAAATTATTCGAGAGCGTGTATACTCCCCAGTGCACACCATGGCAGCGGCTGGGCTGAAGTTGGAAGCTGAGAATTCAATGTGGTTGTTCCATGTAGGTGGCAGGGATCTTAGCCAAGACCTGCATGAACAGGAGTCTGGAGTCTGGAGTCAGAGCTGGGACTTGAACCCAGGCATGCTGCCATGGGATACACGTGTCCTAACCTGCACCTTACCCACGAGGTCAAACGGCTGCTCTGTAAATGACCTTCTAGACCTCTCTGTGCTGCCCACCCTCTGCTTGGCAGGCTCTGGGATGGGTCTGGAGCCACACGGCCCTTTTCACAGCCCCTCAAGAATCCCCAGGATAACCAGGGAGGAGACATGGAGACTCGCCTGAGTCGGGCTCAAGGATGGATCATAGGGAGTCAACATAGTTCTCTCTTTGCTCCTCCCTTCTAAGTGGATGGTCAGCCCCATTTTTTTGTGCATGCGACAGACAGCAAAGCAATTGCTTTCAAAGTCAGATTCTATTGTAGGGGGGACAAAGAGAGGCCCTGAGAGAGGAAAGACCCAATTGGGTGGCAAGGGCCCCTTGGAACCACCCAGGTTAGAACCTGACCTCGTGCCAGGCTGGGGAATGAGATCAAATGAATTTCTTGCCAGCCTTCTGGGCTGGGGTCAAGGGTCAGGGTGGTTAAACAAAACTGAAAAAGTTAAACCATGCTGTTCTGAGTGTTGATGGCACTCCTGTCCAGGATGTAGCTGGTAGTTCTTCCCCATCCTGGGCACAGGCCTGGCATGTGGCGCTTGCCCTGGAAACAACCAATCGACAAGTCCAGGATCCCAGCCCAGCTCGGGGCAGACTGCAGCTCCTCATAGTATGTGAGGTGCACAAGGCACACGTTGATGACTTTGGCCACAACACGCTGCACCTGCACATGCACCATAGCTTCCTGCCCTTCCAGCCCAGCCCCAGGCCCGTCTCAATGTCCTCCTTAGCTTCCTGCCCTTCCAGCCCAGCCCCAGGCCCGTCTCAATGTCCTCCTTAGCTTCCTGCCCTTCCAGCCCAGCCCCAGGCCCGTCTCAATGTCCTCCTTAGCTCCCTGTGTGGGGCTGCCTGGACCCACGGGAGCGTGTCAGTCACACAGAACAGCCAGGCTGGGTTGTTTATTCAGAACACCTTCTCTCCTCTCTGGTACATCTGTCTTCAGGGTGGGCGACGGAGGGCGACCCTCACCAGCACGCTCAGCGCCAGCTCCTCCGCTTGTCCGAGGGAAGAGACCCAGCTGTCACTCACAGAACCCTGGGGTCTGGAAAGGCTGTGGAAGGCAGTATGCGGCTCGGCAAAACTGCTTGGCCAAGGGTCTTAGGCTTGAAGGGTCATGACTGGAGGCTTAAAATAATATATTCATTTTGTTTATTTGCAAGGTAGAATGATAGAGAGAAAGAGGAGGACACAGAGAGATTTGTTTTTTCTGTCTATTGGTTTGCTCCATAAATGATTGCAATGTCCAGGGCTGGGCTGGGCTGGAGCCAGGAGCCTGGAACTCCATCATGGTCCTGCATGTGGGTGGCAGGGGCCCAAGCACTTGGGCTACCTTCTGCTGCTTTACCATGCCCATTAACTAGGAACTGAATTGTGGCAAAGTGACAACAGGCAACTGGTCTACCCTTCATTTTGAGCTTCTTACTCAAATGTCCATCTTGTCTGAGAGACAACACCTCCAAAACTCAAATTCTGCACCCCTATCTAAGTGTAAGTCCTAGCAGATCCCAAGGAGCCAAGCTGCGACCCCTGGGGGTCACCCTGTGTGTCCTCCTGCCCTCATCTCCACCTAGGCCTCTGCTCGTGGCTTAAGGTTGCCTGGCAACCTTCTATTCATCTGCCACCTCCTTTTCTACTCATCTCTTTCTCCTAACAGTTAAAAAAAAAATGCTACCAGCTGCTGGAATTTCAAGACATCCCCGCTGCAATTAGTGTGCTTTTGGTTACTATAACAAAGTGTTGGAAGATGGATGACTTTATGAAGAAATGAGGTTTGGGAGGTTCAAGAACGGGGTGCCAGCTTCGATGCAGCTGGGAGAAAGTCTCACGTGATGCCATCACCTTGGCAGGGGTGTGTGTGACTGAGGGGTGACACTGCTGAGACCTGGGAGTCTGCAGAGCGCCATGCCTGTTCTTTTACCTAACCTTTCCTGGAGAATCAACCCAGGGTCTCAGAAGAACCACCTTAATCCTTTGTGAAGGCAGTGTGTGTGTCCTTGCTACGTCCCTGTGACCTTGACCTCCCACAGGTCCCTGACCTCTCGCATCACCAGGTTCCCACAGCAGCCATGATCTTTCGGGGGACACACCACAGCAGCCACGGCCTCCATCAGGTCCACGTGTCAGTGGGGTCTGTCTAGGCAGGTGGCAGTCCTGACTACCTGCTGTGTTCATTGGGAACTGGGGTCACTCAGTGAACAGGGCCTGTGTCAGGAGGAACTGGACCAACAGGGGACCTGCAGCCTGCCTCACGTGTGAACATGGCTGCTCTCTCCAAAGGCTCGGACTTCACTGGGTAGCCACAGCAGCCAAAATGATGCTTACTGAAACAGTGGTTGGTCCATGCTTTACTGAGCACTTGTCTTATACTTGGAGCTAAGCCCAGTTCCATGCTTTTACTCATAGCATCGTCTCTTGGAATTCATGAGGGGGATTGGTCCTAGGATTCCCAAGAGCCATGGCTGTTCGGACTCCTTCCATGAATATGGTCACACGCACACAGCCTCCTATGTACTTTACGTTCTGTTTGGTAACTAGCAAGGACATGAAGTTGTCACACTGTATTGTTGAGGAACCATGTCAAGAAGAAAGTCTGAGGGCAGCTTTATGGCACAGCAAGCTACACTGCTGCTTGCAACGGTTTGCCCCCCATTTCAGAGCACTGGTTGGAGTCCTGGCTGCTCTGAGCCAGCATCTGGTGACGCATCTTGGGGTGCAGTGTGGATGTTGGTTCAGGTGCTTGGATACCTGCCCTGACACGTTCCTGGCTCCTCTCTCTCTCTTTGTACCAATTTATCTCTGTCACTCTACCTTTCAAGCAGATAAAAGAATACGTATTATATAAGGAAAAAAGTCTGCATTTGTTTAATACAGATGCACCTTTTAAAAAACATTTTCCACCTGCTGTTGCTTGAATGTGCAGCATGAAACCTATGCACGAGGGGCTGGCTGTATTGCTCACATCAACCTGATCAGGAAGGCTGTCTCCATTGCACAGATAAAGAGACTGAGGCCCAGAGAGATGCCTGGGGATCTGAACCCCAGCTCCTAGCGGGCTGAGGTGCACTGG